GTTTTTGTGTTTCTTTTTTGTTCTGGTTGCGCGGGGGGGGGGGGGGGGGGGGGGGGGGATAATGGCAGGGGAAACACTGAGCACCATATAGACTGGGATGTCAACTTCAGCTGCAAAGCCTTAACTTAAGGTCACTGCTCATTTTCACTGGGCGTTTGGCAATGTTGAACTATATAGCAAGAGGCCACGGTATGGCGGGCTGCTAGGAGAGGGGCCAGGGAAGGTCACTTCCTCCCCATTAAAAACTCATCAGCCAAGCTACTGTTGGACAATGACTGCAACTCATCTCTGTGTAGCTTTATTGCTGAAATCTAGCAAGATATGATCACTTAGTACAAATGACAAATTGACAACAGCCTGTCTAACAACATCTACATAAAAAAAATCCTGTGTGTGTGTATACTGCATATCAAAAGATGTAATTGTAATGCAACAACAGGTGGCTTGTTTTGACTCCCTAAAATTTTCCATTCTGCATGTATTAATACATCAGATGTTCACCTACACATGCTGAAAAATGAAAGTGATTAGTAAATTAGTAGAAAATTTGCCTTTACACTGTTACACTGTTCAAAAAGTAATTACTAGATTCGTTATTAAAAACAGGTGGCATTGATATGAATCACTCCATGCAATTCAGCATATGGAAAATGGGAAACTGACAATATAATTAAATCAAGCTCTTGTGTATACTTCATATCTGCACTACACTATACAGTCTTGGAAAAAGTCTGAGTTGAGTGTTTAAAAGTTAAACAGGTCAAAGTTCACACTGCAAAACCACATAATTTACACCTGCCGTTTTCACTTTTAAAATAATTATCCAAGTTCAAACTATTTCAAATATAAATGAAATTAAATAAGGTAGCCTACTGTAGATGCTGCATAATCAGTTTACTGTAAACAGTTCACACAAACTTTTTCCACAGGGAGCAAACTAAAGCATAAACTCATATTTTCATCGGTACAAATCCTTCACTTACTTAACTTACCTGTTGGTACTGTCTCTTCTATGCACATGTTTTTAGGTGGAAAAGAGCACCTGAAGTGAACCCATCAGTACAAAACGCATGCCAGCTTCGGTACAGTAGAGTGCGTGTTTGTGTGTGTAGCAGGCTCATACTGTACTAGTAGAATGAGGCTACAATGTGTCTGTTGGTACAGTATGTGCCTGCTACAAACTAGGCCCTACATACAGCAAGACACTCTCCGCGCCAGCTACCTGTGCAATATCAGTCGTACTAACAGGGCAAAAACCCGCGTGTACTGAAGCCTTACAGTGGAGAGTGACGGGAATGAATCGTTTTACCTTTAGGACCGCTGAGCTGTCAACGCGCGCAGCTAGCGTACGCTGGAATTAGCTTCGTAAGGCAGGAGAAGACGAGCAAATGTTGCATAAGCGCGAGAGCAGTAAATAAACGCGCGACTCACCGTGTGAACGTTTGGCGGGTTTCAGGGAGATCACGGGGATCCTGCTTCGTCCTGCTTCGTGTATCCAGTGCAAGTGTGAAGACACTAGTGCACACAGCGAGCCGATACCACCGCAGCGTGCCTTCAGACTACTGTTTCCTCCTCCCAAAGTCCTCCGTTTGCTCTTTAGGACGTGCACTAGGCTCTCGGTGGTGGGTTTTCCCCTTAGTTTGAAGGGGAGAAAAGTCCTCTGCCTTACCCGTGCTGCCACGACAGGGATTTGAAATGAAGAGAAATACTACGATCGCTCCTCCCTCCCCGGTCCCACTCATGTACAGTACCACAGGGAGCGTATAAAACAATTTAATAAAACGATCTACCGCTCTCTACAGGATTTATACTGTAAAATACTTACATGATCTCTCTCTCTCTCTCTCTCTCTCTCTCTCTCTCTCTCTGTGCAGACTGCTGTCATGTGAGGCGAATGACAGCGCGCGAAGCGTCCGTCAGTGCCCAGCATCATTGAAGGTTCAGCGCCGCGCTTCTAATTTAAAGGTACACACAGCGTTTTTGCTAATTAAAAAGTGCCCATAAAAACATTTAAATCATGTAAACTCACATGAGATCAGACACGTGACTTACCAGTCTTATAGAAAAAGCTATTTTATTCTACATGGAGTGGGTCGCCCCCTCAGGCGATTAACCTGCATCAAATCATGTAACAAAATTGATTATTCAGTGTGTTTGCCTTATTATTTTTGATCATAAGACCATGTTTGAAGGCCATGCGGATACAATACAATACAAATGCCAACCACGAGCAACTGCAGCTAAAATCTTGTTCATTCCCGTGTGACTTCTTTCACACTCATATGGGTCATGAGGCCTTCAAAACACATCTGGCTTTTATAATCAAACTATTTCCTCAATTGTTTTGTTTTCTAACTATTTCATCACACCTTTCAAGTTGGCCCAAAAATGAATGAATGATTCTGTTATCATTTACTCACCTCCATGTTATTCTGAACCTGTATGACTTTCTTCATTTTGAAGAACTGCTTTTGCCCATACAATAAAATAACACTGGACAGCATTGACTTTCAGGGTATGGACAAAAGAACCAAGAACCAATTTTTTTTTCTTTTAAATCTTTTTTTGTATTTCAAAAGAAAGAAACAGGTCACTTTTCACTGAAAGCGATGTTTTAATTGTCCCAACATTCTGAAAGCATTATGAATGATAATTATGTCAAATGAATCATCCAGCATGTCAATATTTCAAGCATGCTTTTTAGAAGTTTTGAGATATGTTTCAGACATTTTCTTGGAAATGTATAAAATCAGCTTTTCAATAACAATGTGATATTGATTTGAATTTCACTAAAAAGACTCAATACTACTATTTTGCACCTTGGGAAATACATTCTACATTAGGCTGTTCTGTTCAAGTTTATTCTGCTAAATCTCACAAGATGATACCTATTTGAACTTTCTCAAGTCTATCCATGCTATGGATAAATATAAATTATAAAAAATATAATTGCAGTCAAATAGGTCTGATCTCATTCTAAAACAGAATGAGAAATTTGAGCAAATAAGTGAAGGACAAATGGACTAATTAGAGACATGAATATTCATAAGCAGGAAAAACACCAGAAGCAAACAAAACATCTTCAGGACTGCAAAATGCTTGAAAAAACGCTGAAAAAAGCAACAGCTCAGGCACTGAAAAAAAATGCTCACTCTCAAACTGAATCCAAATGAAAGACTCATCTTTACCCAGTGAGGCTGTGCTGTGCATGTCTCTGCATAAATGACAAAAGAATTTTCAGTTTGAACGTTGCTATTTGAACAGTTGCTTATTTCATTTTTTGTCCTAAAACAAACTAAGCAGGGAAACAGGGAAGCACATTCAGCTAGAAGGAGATCAATTGCAGATAACAATCTTCTGCTCAGAAAGTCTAGAGTCCAATTTCCAATACACATTTGTTCTATTACCTTTACGTGACTTTGGTTGGCCAAAACCCCACATAACATAGTATTAATATGAAAATACTGTTTACTTTGCATCTTTATTAAAGCTAATAAGGAGCAACTTCAATTGACAGCAAGTGCTGCTATATTTCCTACAAATTCATTATTTTGACCATTTACATTCCATGAAAATAAAGTGGTCATGTACCATTAATTGATCATTTTAAGCATTTCTTTATTTACTTAGTCCACTCAGTAGGTGTCATAGCCATTTTAAATAGGTCAAAAAGTATTAAGTTCAACATTAGCACGATTAAAGTTCATGATGATTTTCTAAAAAAAATGAGTTCTCTTAGTTAAAAGTGCTTAGAAATCTCTCAATATATAAAATAAATATATACATTTGTGCTTGAGACGTTGTTGAAACTGAGCCCACTTATAATGATTCAAGCCGCTAAGAACATCTCATCCAAAATTCTGTTCTTCCACAAGCACACTAGAAAGCATAACACACAAAATCCCTCTGATCTCAGTGGGGTGCTAAACCATAGATAACATATAAAGTTACCAATGATAGGAAGTCGAGTGCCAACATATGATGAAGGATTGTCAATGCATATTTTGTGCAGTGTTCTTTAAGACCTACCGCAAACACAAAGCGTCATGTACAGTGTTATGTTTCTGTCATCAGATCATCATCATAACTGATGTTCAAAATATTTTGAACACACTGCAATAACAGTGTCCCAAACAGATCTTTAATAAGTCTTATGAGTGCTCTGTTTTTTTGTGATGTGTATGAACCTTCAAGCTGAATCCTTTTAAAGTCAAGCTCTCTAACAGACTACAATTTTGCTTTGAGCAAGTATGCAAAATTTGATAATTTTTTAATGCACAGTTTGTCATTTAGATTTTAAATCAGTTGAAAAATAAAGAAAAGTAATCACAGTACACAAAACGGCTAGGGTCGGGCAGTGGAAGGAATGCAATAATTTTAAAATTACACTAATTTAGAAAAGTTCATGTTGGTCAAAACAGTTTTTTCAGGGTATATGCAACTTGAATCTGCCCCAGAGTGTCAAATAAAGCCAGGTATGATAGGATCAACGTTCCAAAGAACTCCTTCTTCCTCATCAAATCCTGGTCTTCCACAGTATGATTCTGCGTAAAACTCTTTAATGGTGCATGTTAATACTTAACACAAATGCCAACATCTTGTAAAGCACAATCCAATTACTGCAAACTCTGAGACTAGTAAAACTGCTTTCAAATGGATTAGAATCCAGAAACAATAAACGTAAAAAAAAAAATTTTTAAATCCAGGGTTTTTTGGTTAAGGGGGCAAATGTTAAGATTCTAATATGACTTCTTGTGGGATTAAAAAGCTAATTATAATATGTAAACATACATTTTGGTAAATTTGGTAGAGATTTTGGCGAATTTGACATAATGACTAAATTGCTGCAGGGTTAATTTTTTGTTTGATCAATTTAAAGGGATAGTTCACCCAAAAATGAAAATTCTGTTATTAATTACTCACCTTCATGTCGTTCCAAACCTGTAAGACTTTTGTTCATCTTCAGAACACAAATTAAGGTATTTTTGATGAAATCACAATTAATGGAAAGGAATGTCAGTTTGATCTGCATGGCTACAGTTCTTCAAGCCGTATCTTGATAGTTTTGTGTAGCTGCGAGCACGTCAGGGTTGTAGTTTGAATCCTGGGTGGAGTGAAAAAGGAAGTTGATTCAGTACAAGAGGCCAGAAGTTTCTTATATTCCTGTCGTTCTTCAAGGCAACAAGCCAGAAACAAGCTGTGTTTCAAGGTTTCAGTGTATACAGCACACAGGCTTATTTGTGAGTAACATATTCACAAAGCTTTCCTCTTTATTAGTTAAAAGATGTCCCATGGACCGACAAAGGCGCCGTTGTCATGGTGCTGGCACAAATAAAATGCCTACAGAGCAGCTGAAGATGGCATCAAAGAAAGTAAACGAATCCTTTGATAGGCTGTTTATGTCACTACAGTACACCCCTGCACAAACACAAAGCATATAAAAAGTCAAAGTGGCTAGCCTGCTGTGTTTATGGTGCCACGACTAATTATGCCTCGTGTTTCCGTAATCTTTCCACTTTGCATTCATTCAAAAGTATGTAAATAAATAAGGATAAATCTAGTAAATGGAGAAAGGAAAGCCCAAGAAGTGTACATTAGAGCAGAAATCTGATCAAACACGAGTGCTTTGGCTAGCTGCTCTTGAATAATTGCAGGACTTTGCTGAAGCTGGATCCATATATGGCGTTAGTCTGTAATTCTGCTTTTGAGAGAAATCATTTGTTGATGAAAGACATGTCGCATAACTGCTTAAATCTTTCTTGTATCGTTGACCTTCACACCAGTATCTGTCTAAACCAAAAGAAATATCAAATTTTGAGTAGAGAGAAATGTCATTAGCTGTAAGTGGTGGGGGTAAATAATCTAATCCAGACTGAATTATAATACAATATTTGCAGAAACAGTTGCAGGGGCATATAGCCATCATTTCAGAAGTGAGAGGGACAGAAATGTCAAATGTAATAATAGCTTTACCTTATTTAGTGTTAACTCTACATTGCGAAGATCGCAGTGGGAACTCCTCCCCTTCTCCGAAATTTTTAAGCCTTGTAGGTGTAATTTGGGGTTTGGGTTTTGTTTCTGTGTCGTGTTCATGTCTTTTATTTTGTAATTATTTCATGCTGTTAGTGTCATGCTTCCCTTGCCCTCTTGTCTTCATGCCATTGGTTCCTCTGTTCTTCGTGTCATGTTCTGATTGGTTGTCTAGGTCATGTGTCTTGTTTCCCATTTGTTTGTTCATGTCATGTGACCCTCTTTGTTTGCTATAAGTAGCCATGTCGTTGCCTTTGTTCCTGGTCGTGTATTGATGTTGTAACCCGCTGTCGGCGAGTCTAGTCTGTTCATGCCTCATCAAGTCTGTTCATGTCAAGTCAAGTCTCGGATTATTGTTTGGATGTTTGGATCACACTGTAAATAAACTGCACTTGGGTTCTCACTTCAACTCGCCCTTCAGTGGCCTGAAATCGTTACAGAATACACGACCGCAAAAATGAACCCAACAGATAGCCTAGTTCGCCTTCGTCAAGGTAATCGCTCCATTGAGGATTATGTGGAAGACTTTTGTGGGCTTTGTCACCTAGTGGATTTTAATGAAACATTCCTGAAAGACATTTTCCGTTATGGTAAGTAAGGACATGCCACGTTTAATGCCACGTAGTACCCCACATTGGTCACTAGAGCAGTATATAGATTTTGATTTGCAGTTGAGTGGATCTGCTTTCACTGT